CAAAGGGGCGAGTATGGTTTGCTTCTTGTCTCCTGTCTGAGCCGACAGTCAGCTAGCAGCAGTTGATGGAGAGGCCAGCGTCCTGACCTTTGTTCCATCTGTGACGTACCATCAACTGCTCCAGATAACCTCTCATGTCAGGAGAATCTTTGAGTACTCAATGAGAAGGAAATCTGCTGCATTATTACTCTCTCCCAAGAGGTACTTCTGCAACAGCACACTTTCCTTGAGCTCACAGTTTCTTGGGTTGCCAATGTCTGCCAGGGTCCTGTCGTCGGAGAGTTTGATGAGATTGGGGCACCTGAGGAGAAAGTGTTTGCTTCTGGAAGTACCATACTAAGGGCTTCTCCCTCCACTGCAGAAGAGCGTGCTTCAGCGGTGGTGAGGTGGCAGTAGTCGCAGAGAGCGCGTCGCCACCGTTCTTTGCTGCAAAAAGACACGTTGGTAGAGAAGCAATTGCAGTACTGCTATTGATACACAAAACCAGTACCTTATTTGCCCTAGTCTGCAATGAAGACAGGTCTTATGACGACTGCGGGACAGGTCCTATCATAATACGCAAAGCCAATCGCTGGCAAGCTGGCATATAGTACCCTGGGTTTGGTGGATTTTGACACAGTGCATCCCAGTGCATGTACTTTCCGACAACCTACTTCAGAAACTCCCTGAAAGTGTGCGTCATTGGGGCCATGACGAAGAGTGGTTCTCAAGGTCATGCTAAGATCTGATATTAGCAACAGAGTTGTCTGGGCATGAGAGTCTCGATGGCCGCCAAGTGCTCGTCAGTGGGCTGGTAAGTTATTAAGCACCCTTTTAAGAGAAAAAGTCAACCTCCCTTCTGGCAAAATGGAATACCTCAAGTTTGAGGATGATGCCCTTTGCGTATATATCCAAGAAGTCAAGTAAGTGTCTGAATACCTTCTACTGTGACTGGCTTGTGAGTGTACCATCCACAAACTTACCTCTCGGGGATGTCTTGAACGGCATCATCGAAATGGCCTGTATACGCATCGCAGTGACGCAGTGGCACATGACAATACTTCAACCTCTCCCACGCACATAAAAGTGGTGGGGTAGCTGCTCTCTTTCAATATACTCTCAGAACTGGATGAATGTGGTGTGTTCCCCTTTGGCACAAACGTTGAAGCACCCCTCTGTGGTTATCTTGCAGTTAAGGCTCAGGGCTCGCTTGTTTGATGCCTTCCTCCAGGTGTGCTCTCACCTTGTCTTCTCAGTGTTTCGGCACCAACACTAGTGGGCAGCAGGCTTTGAGGACTGCATTAGCAGTTCGGTGGATATTACCAGGCCTACTTTCTATCATCTGCAATGGCTCCCTTGTGATGTGAACACTGTGGACGAAAAACGCTGCAATAACCATTCCCCATGCACTGTGCTCCTCTAGTGGTGGGAGGGGTAGAGATGAGGACCTCGACAGCAGCTGGCAGTGTGCCACTGCCACAAAACTCTAGCACCAACCCCAGCACCTGGCATGAATTTTCTGATAGGAAATGAGCCTTGACTGGGTCAATATTAGATGTGTCACATTCTAGAGACTGACCCGTTTCTGCAGCAGCGTGGCCTGATGTAAACTGGACAGTAGGGAGGACCCAAAACCTTAAACTTTTGGTCCTGTATGAGTTGTGGCAGGTATGGAAAGTCAGGCCTCTCTTTACCCATGTTTAATGGTCACTCCCATAATGGGTTGGCAGAAGGGAGTGTATACGATGGTCACAGTGCCCAAGATATCATTGGTGGCTGCTTGTCTGCTGGAATATCTTGTACTCCTCTTGAAATGGTGCTGCCTTTGGCAGCTGTGGCAGATGGCTGTCTAAGCTATAAAGGAAGTTCTGTTTAGACCCTACAATTCTCACAGGGACATGTGGGTTGTGCTTTGCCTTTTGTGAAGTGCCAGCTACACCAGCAGCCATCTGCCACTTGCTTCCACCCAAGGTATTATGGGTAGAGCAAATGATCCTAAGCTCATTAACGCTGTCTATGGAGTCATACATTTTGTAGACCTGACTTTTCAACATTTCGTCACTGCTTCCTTAGTAATGCATTCTGCATTGTACAGTAGACATTTGAACAAAAAATTGGTCACCTTTTGAGCACACTTAACAAAGTAATCACTTACACACCTGTCTTGCTCTTACACATTGAAAATCTTTTATTACATTCATGGTTGAATATGTGAAGCCCCAGCTTAACAACAGCCATATCCACTATCAATGCACTCCAATTATCAAGGGTGAATCTGGCATCAACTGCTGTAGGAGGGGGACACAATATAGATTCATGTGGTGCACTGCCTCCTGTAGCACCCACTTTCATAGATAAAGCCAGCATTCTGTACACCTTGATAACCTAAAGGCAAAAGGCAACATTTCCAACTCAAATTTCTCGGGTGTAGCCTAAGGAGGCAACTATAGTGTATACACTACGGAAGGTGGGATTTGTTTGAATTATTGATATAGCACTACTGTACAGCTGCAAGGGACTG